TACTCTATTCAGCATGTATACTTGCGTATAATAAGTGAGATTTTTATAATTTTTGTAATTAATGAAAATAAATTTTCTTAGGAGTGACAACTAAGGAAATTCAGGGAACACTATATCCACTTTATTAGAATATTTGGTTAGTATTTATAGAAGTAATTCTGTAATTTTAAAGAGAAGGGTAGAGGAGATTGTTGAACCATTCAGTGATATCTTTTTTTATGTACTTCCTTTTTTTTTGTAATTAATGAAAATAAAATTGCTTAATTTATTCTTCATGTCTAGCTAAACTCTCTAGTTTTGGATTGATAATGTAAATTAAATATATAGTTCTAATGATTTCTATTAATCTTTAAAGTTATGATATGATGTTTTTAAATATACAAAGTTTTCATTTAATTCATATAGTGACTATTTGTGTAGTTGATATCATGTGCAATGTGGAGCTTAGAACTAGGAAAGCAGGCACAACCATGTTATTAGATTGGTATGATGCAAATATAAGCATAGTGGATGGATTTTCATGAGGGGGTAATCAATAATACATGCTTTACTTACTCTTCTAGGCATTTCATACTGTGAAAGACTATAAGAGTTTATAGTGGTATTGAGAGTGGAATGAGTTAGGCCATTCCTTTGTCTCTTCAAGCTTGACTTAGTGATCAATTATGCATATGTTCTAACATCACATTAAAAAGAGATTTATTAAGAAACATGCTAATTTATATTTCACCAATCCAAAAATTTTTATTCATATAAGTGTATCCAATATTTTGATATTGATTTTTACAAAAGTGATTGAATCTCCACCAACCCTTATTTTTATTTAATAGGGTAATTGTTGACATTATAGTAGACAATATTAGTGTTTCCAAGTAAACATTCTTCATCGTGGGATCGATACTCTACTCTATCACTATATTATTTGATTCGACATGTATACTTACATATATTAAGTGGGGTTTTTATATTTTTTATATCAAAGAAAATTTAAACATTATTTAGAAATTGATAGAGTCCTAAATCATATTCACGATTATACAGGTTACTCCACCACCATAAGAGCCCATCAACAGTGAATATAGTAGCTTCCTAATCATCATCTATTCCTATGTGTTGGGATCCTTCGTGTGAACCTTGTCATGCTAAGCAATCACCTCTTTAACTTGCTCACCCACTGCAATATTGTCCTATGTTATTGAGGGCCCGGTGAATTGAGCCTCGTATGTAAGAGGCACCCCTTTGATTAGTTATGAGGGATCAATAATAGAAAGTTTATTTTAAAAAACTTAGAAGAATTACAATAAGTCTATCATACAAGGTGGTTGTCTTTGTATATAGCCCAAAATCCCACTATGTCAAAGCATGCACTTTAAACTCACTTAGCAAATGTCCCAATAACTCACTTGAGAAAACACATATCATTGGCTCATTTATAGGTGACACCCATCCACCTATTAAAAATTACCATAAATATTTAAGATAATTTTTCATCTTAACTTCTTTGAATGAAGTTTCTAGCTTGGATCTAAGTGAGTTCACCACAACCTCAGTATAGGCCACCTCCTTAGTATGTGTTGCCACCATTGGTTTAACTAAGGGTACCCATCTTGGTATTCTTAGATTTAGTGACATGTCCTCAAAATTATAGGAAAAGTTCACTCTCTTAGGACTTATTGTGTTGCCACCTACAAAGGCGAGTTTAGTAGATCCTACTATCTTAGTCGATAGAGTGAAAACCACCTTTTACACCCAAGGCTCAATTTTTACTCTCTTCGATGGGGAAGAGGAGATGGGCTTAGTAGACTACTACATGGTTTTGGTACACCTTTTTGACCTCTCTACTTGATAAGGGTTTCTTGCCCTTCATTATATATTGTTATCTTTACTAAGTAAAAAATATCTTTCCTTATTTTATGCTAGATGAGGCTAACTTGGCATGATCTATTTTTATCACATTCACAAGTCTCTATAACACTATTTAGATGCTCAAATGAGTAACAAATTTCAGCATGGAACCGCTTCTTATAAAGATCCGACATAAGTGGCATCACATGACCACCATTATGGAAAATTTATGCAATAACTGAGGCTATAATAAAACATGTAAGTAACTTTATATTTAATCTCATGTAATCATTTGGTAGCCCTCTTTAATGCACCTATTAATTCACTTGTCCTTTTTGTCACTTGCACTCCAAAGTGTCAAGTGAATTGGAGAACTCAATGTATATTTGCACATACCATTTTTGGAATTTAGTAGGTAGACGACGGGCCTTATTAGAAGACCTCACACTTTAACAAAGGAGCTCACCCTAAAGATCACAAGAAGTGGCTCAAAATGTAGTCACCTCCCACATAGACAATCAAGAGCCCTCATAGGTTAGCTCACTGCCTACCTCTATGAAGGATTAATTGTTAACATTACTTGCAATTGTACCCACCTCAATATACCATTAATCATTCTCACCACTTCAACTACGAGAAAGGAACCTACTCAAGAGACCATTTGCTTTCCTTATTATAGTCAGGAGGTCATGGAGCTTATTTACCTTGCAATTTAAACTTACTCGCCCCTTTCGACAAGGCTATACGAGGCTCCAACATTGGTCACTAGTGATTTTAGGGTGCCAACCACCTTAACTTTCTCTATTCAGAACTCATTAGTGGCTCACCTATGCCTACTTACCCATACATAGTTGGCACTACTATAATAACTTTATGATAGACAAATTTAAATTCAAGGAATTCTCCTATATACTCAACTAGAGTGTGATGTGAGTCAAATTTAGTCTATATTAAGAGTCATAAAGTCATATAATTTTTTATTCATTTTATTGAAGAAGCCTTTCGTGTAGTAAATCTGTACAAATAAATAGTGAAGAGGAACATTTAAGATATTTTGGCATCTTCAACATCTCTTCTATTCTTGAGCACTTAAACTATATACATTGGAGTTAATTGGACTTCCTATAGAGCTTTTTTTTCATTTTTTTCTCTCCATCATCATATATGTTTTCAGGTCATACTCTCAGAGCAAGCTTGCTAGTAAGGTCAGATAACACAAGAGATAAATTTGGATCAAAGAGTTAAGGTTTAAATCCCATTTTATAAATTAAAAAAATATATCTTGCATTTGTATACAAATACAAACTTTATGATTTTAAAAGCATATAGATGGTTTTAGTTGGCAATTATTTCTAGGCAATATAATAAGATTAGGTGTCAAGCTTAGTTTGCCTTTAATAAGATTTCAAGTTTTTAGTCACTTGCATGTGTTAGAATTTGGTTTGAGTTTCTACTATGATGGTTTTTCTCATCTTTGATCCATGACTCGAGGTTGATGTTTATCATTCTTATTCCTTCTCCTTTAGCCTTGATTTAGCCTTGATTCATATGGCTTTCTATTGTGACATATATATTTTATTTTGCGTCAATAAAATTGTGTAATTAGAACCCATGTATTTAAAAAATATAAGTTTTTATTAGATCAAATCAAATATATTAATTTGTTTTTGTATTTTTTATAATACAGTTTACATGCCTTAAAATGGGAATCAATTCACATTACGAGATTTGAAAATCCATAATTTGGGTGGTTTCCAAATTAAGGAAAAATAATAATTTTTGGGCAATTTAGAACTCTCATTATTTTATATTCTCAAAAACTAATGTAGATTAAGTAATACAATATGTATACTTGTATATGTATTTTTAGGTATCTAGCAAATAATCGTGGGTTCATGAAAAAATGAACTTTCATCTGGCGGGCCCCACGAAGGAGCTTATCCAATGACCATCATATCCCACTCGCATAGAAACATCGTCGAAGTTGCCCTCCACGGGGGAAAATCAAGGCTTCTTGTAGATCACACGACATGCTACTCACCTTGACAAACTGTGCATCGAATTTGATCGCCATCACCCACAGTGGTGTGCCATCATTCACACACGTTACCTCAACTTCAAAAAAGCACCTACTCTAGGAGATCTTAGCTTTTCCTACCACGATCATTTGATCATTGAGATTGCCTTCCCCACAATATTAGTTCACTCTTCTTTTGTTTCTAGGCGATCCAAGGCTCGAGCATTGGTTGCTGATGACTTCAAGGGTCCCACCAACCACATGCACCTCTTGCTTGGTACTCTCTTAATACTTAATGGACATGCCTATGTACACTAGACACAATTAAACTCACTCATAGATAGATCATCAGATCCATATAGATCTATTCTCTTTCCAGCCAGTCAGAGGATGACATATGTTTATTGCGAGTGTTAAATGTTATTTTTTTTCTTTTTCTGTGTATATATAGTATTTTATGTAGCCCTCGAATATTGGATCCCAATAAATAAAAGTGAAGAGTATTATTTAGGATCTTTTGAATTTTTGAACTTTTGGCATCTTGAGCATGTGTATTACATATCTTTGATAGTGGATTCTTCTCTCCATTCTCACATATGTTTAGGATCAAGTATAATTTGCGAACAAATATGAATATAACACAATACACTCATAATTGAATAAAAATATTTTCTTGAAATATATAATTGAAAAGCTTTTTTATTTATCATTAATTATACATTTTATCTTTTTATTTTAATATATTAGACCCATAGATTTTAAAACTCAAATCGGATTGACACAAATAGCGGTTTAAAAATAATAATAAATATTAAAATATTTAATAAAATTTAAATATTAAAATGTTTAAAATAATTAATAATATTTACAAAAATCTTGCTGAGGTTCGTAAGCTGGCTTGAGCTCGTTTACAGTGGGATGAGCTTGAATTCGAACAGACTTTTTGACTGATAAATCGAGCTCGATAAGATCACTACTCGCCTCATTTACATCCTTAAAAATAAGTATGAAAAATATTGATACCCTCCTAACCCTTGCACATCTTCGCCGAACGAGCTCTGTGCAACTCGGCCGCTCCTTCGGTTTCACACCCTACTTGAGTTGTCCACAATCACATTTTCAAAGTTTTGAAATCTCTCCGGCAGCAATAAATAAATAAATTAATTAAATCGATAAATAGACATCCCTCTCTTTTCAGCTTATTTTAATCACCGGAGTTGTTCTCCGTCGTTTGCATTTTATTTCTCTAATACTCTCTCGAATACCCTGACGACGCAATCTTCCTTCTCCCTGCCCGATCGACGGGCATCTCGTCGGCACAGCTTCTTGCCGGTGACTTGTACTGATTTGGAGAGGGAGAGGGAGAGACGATGAAAGCAGCAACGACGGCGGCGGGAGGGAGGCAGATGCAGCGATCAGGACATCATCATCAGCGCCAGTACTCGGACCAGTTTCTCTTCGAGTCTCACTCCTCCAATACTGGCGGAGGCGGTGGGAAGTGGATGCATAGCCTTCCAACCTCCGGCTTAAATGTGCCACAGCAGGTGCAGGGTTTTTGATATTAGGGAAATGAAAAGTTACATGGAGTTTTTTTGCTTATTTTCTGGTTTTGCTCGATCGTTGGGTTTTTTTTATAGGTGGAGTACTCGAGAATGCTGCGGAGAGCGCAGAGGGGGGTGAGCGGCGAGTTCCTGCTATCCACGGAGCCCTTAACGCCGCCAATAAGCTCGAGGCCATCGAGCCAGAGGAAGGCCAGCGGCGATGTTTCTCCGAGCGAGCTAAGCCCTGGGATTTTGGATCTTCATTCTTTTGACACCGAGCTCCTCTCAGATGTAGGAAAAATTATTACGTGCGGAGTTAGGTGTAGGAAAAATTTAATTATCTTTTATGATTTATTATAACGAAATGCACTGCAAACTGTACCTCATTATTTTTATTGCATTCAAAATTTATTTGAAGATTTAATAATTTGAGGATATTATACCCGAGCAAGCTTCAAATTCCAGCTTGGTTAAATCGGCAATTTTTAATACTTAAGGTGATTGCCGTGTTGGTAGATACGGGCTTCTGGACTCTATGATTCCCCAACCCCATTTGGCAACGCGCGAGGCCGAGGCATTGATGAGTCAGAGCCAAGCTTTTCTGGGAACAATCAGATAGGGAAGGCTAGTTTCATTCCAGAAAATGATCTTTCAACGAGTTTTGCTGCAGACAAGGATAAATTAGGTTCTGTTGCCAAGATTAAAGTAGTGGTGCGTTTTTCTAAGATTTCCATTTTCCTTAGTCTAAGTTTTTATCCTCTGTCAATATTTGTTTCATATTGCTGAATGGCTTAACACTTGTCTCTGTTTGCTTGCTTCCTGCTAACAGGCAAATTTTATAACATTTTCTAGTGCTGATATGGATTCATGGAGTTCATTTTGTCATATGTATATGTATCTTGTCATTTGATAGAGTGTAGTAGTCTTGGTTTTTTCTATGGAGTTCAATTGAACCATAAAATAGATTGTGAAAAATGTAATAGATAGGAAAGGTTTTATGCTTTTACTGTGTGTAACGAATGTAATGATTGTTGGTGAAGGTGCGAAAGAGGCCTCTAAACAAAAAGGAAAAAGCAAAGAAAGAGGAAGACATTATTACAATTGACCACAACAGAAAATTTCTGACAGTTCATGAGACCAAACTGAAGGTGTGACAACTTTTAAATTTGTTTTTGTTTTTTGTTTTTTTTTCCTGATTTTACCTTTCTGTTTGTTATGATTGAACTGTATGGCCTTATATTTTTTAAACTTCCTTTTCATGCTGATAAACTGCTAACTTCCTGTTATTTTCCGTGCTTAGTTATAGATAGAGATGCATATTTTAATGTGCAGGCATTGCCTTAATCTTTAAATTTGATAAGCCCTGTTACTTGCCTAACTCAAAATGAAACAGCTACCATCGACATGCAATTTCTTAGAAATCATTGTAGGCACTCTTCTTAGGGGTCATTAATAAAAATAATCTTCCAGAAGTTTCATTATGCAGGCTTTATAGAGAATTCAATCCTTGATATAGACAATGAACTGTTTATTTTAGGCTGCAGACCACTTGAAATTTCTTAGTTCTGATATCTTTTTCTCCCGAATGTGAAATCAGTTATCTTACAGAAAACTACTGTGAAGTAGTGGAGTTTATACTATTTGCATGCACTAGTCAGGTTATTGGGGTTTTCAATATTTTTTTTTTGGTATCGCTGAAGTCCACAATGTATGCAAATTTTCATAAATGATTAAGGAAACTAGAGCTGTTTGAATGCTAAGATGATTGGTGACTGATTCTCTACATTTTATAATATGATTTTATGTTTTTAAAATATGGGTTACTAATAGCATTTAAACATTTATCTATAAGCTAATACTTAAGACTGGAGGATCATGTTTAGGAAACTAATATAACTGGAAAATGTGATTTTGAGGTCAATTGTTCCCTCAATCTTAATTGCTAGCTCATATAGCTGGTAAACTAACAAAAGGAATACATGCTGATTAATGATTGGTATATGGCTGTAAAAATATTGAAAATTGTATTCTGTAGTTGCTTGATCACCAAAGAAAGAAAACATGACAATTGAATGTGACCAAGCAAGGTTTTTTCATACTCTTATGAACAAACAATTTTGAATTTCCCCTTTTGATTTCATTTACTGTTTTAGGTTGACCTGACGGAGTATGTTGAGAAGCATGAGTTTGTATTTGATGCTGTTCTTGACGAGGATGTTTCAAATGATGAAGTAAGCTATAGAGAAAGAATATGAATGCTTTTTCTGCACTATATATTTGTTGGCCTTTCTGAACTTTTATTGTGATCTTCTAGTTATATCATGAGACCGTGGAACCAATTGTCCCAGCTATCTTTCAGCGCACCAAGGCAACTTGTTTTGCTTATGGCCAAACAGGCAAGTAATTGGAAGTTGGAACATTTTTGTAGGAAGTTTAAAATCGCTCAATTGTGTGTAGGAACAATTTAGCAATTAATGGGTCTGATTTGCAATTGTGCATTCAAATTTTTTAATCTGATTCCATCTACTTGAAAGGACCGCTCTATGATATCCTTATATGTGTTTTTTTGACTTATTTAATGCACATTTTAGACATTCTAAACTTTAACATGTGGCTATTGGATTAAGCTGTTTCAATTGCACCTTTTTCCTCAAGTTTTTTTTTTAAATACTATTTGCTCAATGATTTTCTTACTTTGTGAATTAAAAAAGCATTTTTTTTGCATCATTGATATTTCTAGGCAATGCTTCAACTTTTAACCGGAAACACTTAGTTTTCTGAGCATGAACTTGTTGCTGGTCATACTCTTATTTTGAAGGTTTGAGATTGGACGAATTGATGATTTCTGTAAAAGTAGCAAGTGATTGTTTGTCAATTTAATTCTGACTGGTGTTCTAGGCAATTTTTTCCATGATGTAATTAGTTTGGTCTTTAATGCCTCAGTTCCCTTGATTGTGTATGCCATGAAAGTATTTTTGTGTCATAGTAATTAGTCAATTTATCAAAATGAAAGTAAGCTTTCTTAATTTTTCATCCTACATTTTCCTCAATTGTGGCAACCCTCGAATCCGAACTCATGCTGCAACTTTTGGCTTCATTTGGAAATACTTCTTGGCTGCTTTACCACGTTGCATATGCACCTCTTCCATAAATTCATTGGAATGGGAAAACACATAGAGAAACTCATCCATTTCAGTGAGGTTAGTGGTGATTTTATTTCTTATATCACAATGTAAGCGAACATTGACATAGCTTTGCCAAACATATCCTTAGGCTTAATTTGGTAGTGCTAGTAATATTTGAGAAGTCAAGGGAAATTCATTGCTTTAAAGCTTGCATTTAGAAAAATTTTGTGAGCTGTTTGGTTTATTGAAAAAGGAATATATAGCAAAATGAAATACAACATAGAAGTACAATGTATTTGAAATATTTAGAGTTATTTAGATGAGTGCAAAAAAATGCTATTTGTTTTTTTTTATTTTTTTGGTTTGACTTGAAGTAAAATGAATATAATATGGCATTGGCCTGCGGCCAATGATTGATGATGATGGTAGGCGGCAGGTGGCATTAATTGTTGGAGGCAAGTTGCGGCGACGGCTGTGGCTGGTGGTCAACGGTAGATGGTTGTGTTAGGCTTTGGCCGGTGATAGAGTTGGTGGCTAGCAACATGTGACAATAATGATGGAGAATTTACAATGTATTTAGAAATTGACAAAGTCTAACAATTTTGAAATTCATCAAAATTGAACTAGAGGATGAATTTGAAATTCACCAAGGAATTACATTACATTTGAAATTCACCCAACCAAACACTGTAATTTTTGAAATGCATTACACTACAAATGCAGTCAACCAAACGATCGCCTTAAGGAGAAACTATTGCTTCCATTTTGGAAAGCTTACTATTGAGCTGCTGTTAATTAGTTAAAATGGTTTTGAATTTACCTGAGATGTTGTATATGTGCTATTGAGGCCAAGTGATTGAAAGGGCCATGTATCGTGTTGCGTCTTTACAGAGAGTATGCAATTTATCCTGAGGCCCTTTTAAAATAATAGAATAAATTCTTATGAAAACTATATTAGAAAACAAATAATAGACAAGCTGAGAATTATGAAGCAAATTATTCATCATATGCACCATTTAACTCATCATAATTGTAATGTAACTAATAATATGTATATAAGAAGCAAAGTGCTCATCGTAGGCTCATGCATGTAGGCCTCAATTGAGCACAAACCTTCTCAAGGCATTGTTAATGTAGTGGATTGGCGGAAGAATTGGATCTGCTAAAAAGAACTCCCAATCTCGGGAACAAACTAAGATTAAAATATCAAAAGACATATAACATTCACCCATTTTTTTTCCCTTACAATGGTCATATATAATAAGCTAAGAAGTTTCTAGAAAACAAGAAGGTAAGCTAGTCCTAAGGGTTTATTTAGCTAATGATGCATCACATCATTCTCCAATTGCGTCAAAAGAGCTTGACTCCGTTGAGGCGCATCATGGTTATGGAGGTAGGTATAAAAATCATAACCAAATTCCTGGATCAAAGATTATGCGTCTCTCAATGAGAGCACCATATTTCCCTATCTTTTCCAAATGCCACATTTCATGTTCATTGTTGAAAGCATTCTCTTGACAGTACCAATTGGCTTTGCTGCACTAGAGCTTGCACCTTCCTTGTTCCTTCCACTTATAATGGCAGATGGAATACCATCAAAGGTTAATTGCTTTGCAGTTTTACCCAGCAACTCATTCATGTATTCAGAATCTGCAGATGTTATGGCCACATCTGGTTCGAGTTGAGCAGTCTCAAGTGAAGGGAGCGTGACAATATTCATATATGGTAGAAAATCTTGTCCGAAGCACTGGCAGAGTCATGTCCAAGTTTGCAACATATAGCTAGCTATCGGGTCATCGGTCTCCATTTGAGATCCTTGAAATGACATCAACACTGCCATCACTTGTTTCGCATCATCTCTGAACTTATGCTTGTCCACAACCATGCCAACCATGGACTTGACATATAGCATGCAATTTGACTTATCCATTGCATTTGGTAAAATTGTTTTCAAATAAGACATCACAACATCATAATAATTTTGGAACTACTCTTGTGAAGAATTAGCAAGTGATGCTAAAGCAGTCACAGTTGCTTCTTGCACCATATGTTTCCCATTCTAAAGCAATACTAACATTTTACTAAGAAAGCAATCCAAGTTAGGAGTCAAAAGATCTGGCGGGCACATTTCAGTGAAATTGAGAATTACTGAAGTAGCATGTGCTTGTACACGTGGGTTTTGGAAATCATCCATAGCTGATGTCAAAGCTGGGAGCACCCTCTGGTGATATTGAACCTGCAAATCTGAACCCAAATCTGTAGACAGTTGCCTAATAGCATTGATTGCTGCCCATGTTACACGTGGATGAGGATGTTGGAATGAGTTCAAAACCATTGTCACCACTTGTTCTAGGTTCTTAATCAACACCTTGGAGAATCCTTCAACTATCTGGGCTAGAGTAATCAGAGCAGCATGATGCTTTTGCCAATCTGGCGATGCAAGATAACCAGGAACTAGCTCAAATGTAATCAGAACAAGGATACTGCCGCTACTCGCAATTGATATTCGGTCCAGACATGCCTGAGCAATTTTGTAGTTGTCAGTCCACTCAGTCTACCCTGCATCCTCATCTTCTTTCTCAACAGAATGCCAGGTTGGTTCGGTGCATCATTAGTAAAATAAACTCTTAGGACTAGCTTACCTTCATGTTTTTTAGAATCTTATTAGCTTATTATATATAATCATTGTAAGGGGAAAATAAGGGATGAATATTAGATCATTTTTGAAGTTTTATGCTTAGTTTGTTTCATGGATTAAGAGTTACTTCTAGCCGATCCAATTCTTCCGCGGATCCACTACATCAATTGTGAAGTGCATTGGTATGCTCTAGTTGCTTGTTGGTGATATATTGCTATAATGAATGCAAGAAATATAAATGTAGTTCTTGAGAAGCTCGATCGGAGGAATTTAAAGTTATAAACATGACTTTTACAAATGCAACAAAGTTCTCGTCACAGGTGTTGATAATTAACTAACTAACAATAAATAAATTAAGGTTAACATTTCACAATTACCAACTCTAGGTAGTACAAGTGCACTTAATTATGAAATTTTCACGTCAGTTGATCCATTGATGGTTAGTTGATTACCAACACTTGTGACTAGAGCTTGGTTGCATTTGGACAAGTTATGCATATAATTTTAAGTTCCTTCGATCGAATTTTTCACCAACTATTTTTAAATTTCTAATATCCATATAGCAATATATTATCAAAAAACAACTAGTGCTTGCTAATGCACTCTCTAATGCCTTTAGGAGGCTTCTGCTTAATTTGAGGCCTACATGCTTGAGCCTATGATAATTTGCTATGTTTAATGTGGCTGCAAATTTTATTATTTTCACTCTAAATTCTATTAGGTATTAGAGCGAGATTTGTTCACCTAAGTTGTGTCTGCATGGTGTTCGAGAAGAGCTGGCTGTCTTCAATAATTGCCAATGGAGAAAGCTTTCCAGTTTCCATCACTATTCATAAACTAAATAGCCAAAACTATCTGCAATGATCACAATTTGTACTCATGTTTGTCTTTCGGGAAAAGGAGAGATGAGTACCTTATTGAAGGTGACATCTAACCAAAGAAGGAATATCTAAAATGTAGATCATAGAAGACTGATAGCAACCAATTTCTTACAAATGAAATCAAAGTGAATTCTCTCATTTATAATGCAACTGAGAAAATGTGGGTGGGTGATTCACACGTTGAAAACACATTTGAGTAGTTTGAGATACGGTGCATTCTTCATGATCAAAGATAAGGGGATCTTATAGTTACTCCATAATTCAATATTCTCAATTTACAATGACAATAATTCGATATATTCGAAGAATATCTATAGGTTTAATTTAGTTCTTAATAGTGCAAATAAAATTTTATCTAATGTTCAAAGAAGAATTTTGTCCCAAAAGACTTCTCCTAGCATTCAAAAAGCATTTGTAGATGTAAGAAGAGAATAAAATAAAAAGAAAGTCACTATGATGCACCGACACGGACACGGCGACACGGACACGACACGACACGGATACGGTACACGATAATTTTTAAAAATATAGGACACGGGTGCGGCGTGGACACGACATAATAATTTTTTAATATAATATATAGAAATTAATGTGATATTATAGTTTAAAAATGACAAGCAATAATAAATCAATTTCATGATAACTTGTTTAGCTTATAACATAAAGATGTTTAGTACAAAATGACTAGTACAAAGTACAAACACAAAAATATAAGCAAAAAATCATTAAGTACAATATGAAGGTCCAACTAC